CCAAGGCGGACAGACAGTCCGTGTTAAAGATCTATTGCATACAGCCTTTACTGTGGGGTCTGTTTCTAACTGAATGAAAAGCAAGGAGAGTGAAGATTGACTTCATTGAACCATATTTAATCCCGTGTAGTTCAATTCTCCACAGAATCAAAACTACTGGAAAGTTACAGAGTTGAAGCTATTGGAAAGTCCCACAGTAGGAATTACTGAGATGTTTCTAGAGCTGGAATTATAGGGAAGACGAACTAGAGAAGATTGTTGCTTTTTTTTTCTATCTGCTAAAGCGAAGTTACTTAACAAACCCGTAAGCAGAGAGTGGGAATTTCCAGAGTAAGGGAAGTTTTTAGGACGTCCCGGAGCTGAAGTTATTGGGAAGTTCCGGTACTCATACAAAATCCTGTCTAGAGTTTATTCAGAATAAGAGCACTATTTTAATACAAAACTGACACACATAGTTTTCTTCTTCTCCTACAACCGATGCTGCAAAAACAACAACAACAACAACAACAACAACAACAACAACGACTATGACCATTATTACGGCGGCTGTTGATGATGAGGATTATAATATTACGATTCCAACCGTAAAACAGACAACAGATCTGTAGAATACTCACTCATCATTCCCCCCAACGGCGGTATCAGTCTCATCTTCGTCTTCATTGTTCCTGTTAGTGGCCACGTTGGGCGGGGGGTCGGCTGAGGATACAAACAGTCTGTACGTTAATATCTACCTGTCATCAAAGTCGTATAGATTATCTATTTACAATATCTACCTGTCATCAAAGTCGTATAGATTATCTATTTACAATATCTACCTGTCATCAGAATCGTATAGATTATCTATTTACAATATCTACTTGTCATCAAAGTCGTATAGATTATCTACTTACAATATCTACCTGTCATCAAAGTCGTATAGATTATCTATTTACAATATCTACCTGTCATCAAAGTCGTATAGATTATCTATTTACAATATCTACCTGTCATCAAAGTCGTATAGATTATCTATTTACAATATCTACCTGTCATCAGAGTCGTATAGATTATCTATTTACAATATCTACCTGTCATCACAGTCGTATAGATTATCTATTTACAATATCTACCTGTCATCAAAGTCGTATAGAGATTATCTATTTACAATATCTACCTGTCATCAGAGTCGTATAGATTATCTATTTACAATATCTACCTGTCATCAGAGTCGTATAGATTATCTATTTACAATATCTACCTGTCATCAGAATCGAACATTAATATCTACATCTATTCAGATCTAAATTATTACCTATAAATATATATTGAAATCAAGTGTACATGAGTATCTACATATCAGAATAGCTCGCCGTGTAGGTTTCGGGGCCTCATTGTGGGTTGGAACAAATATTAGACCTATTTCACTAAAACAGCATGTTGTAAGAGTCGACTAATTAAGGGTGTTTGTTTTTCAAGTCGGAGTGCAGCATCTGCCTGAGAGTCAGGGAAACAACAGTCTGCACCCCCTCCTTCTCAGTTCTCAGAAGCATCCTAGGGGGCACTCTTCTCAAGTAGGTCAAGAGTGGTTACATTTTTGTTTATTCAGGCTTAGTGTTTTGTATTTATTTATTTTAGTATAGGGCAGTTTATAAATTATTTCATACAAATCTCATAAAAGTATAACATGCCAAAAACAATATGATTTTTTTTAAAAAAGGAACGGATTAATCATTGTCACTTTATTTTTCTTTGGTATACGAACTGTTTGGTATACGTCCAGGGATCAGGAATGAACTAAGTACGTAGACTTGGGTACTACTGTACTGTAAAGCTAGATCGACATAAGTATCAACTATACAATTTTAATCGATAGGGATTTGAACGTGTGACCACCAGGCATGCAAACATGTGTGCTAGCGGCAACACAACCACAGCTAACAGGAGAAATATGCTGTTGTAATGTTGAGATTTTGTGCAATGAAGTTCCTTTTCTCTACAGCACAAAACCTAGGCAGTATTCTAGAGATCACGTGTTACTCGTTCATCATGATCCCTTCTTCGTCCTGCCTTGTTTAATCTAAAGGAACACAGCACGCTGTAAAAGCCGTCCAATCAGAAGAACAGTTGCCAGCTAAGGCTAAAGGACCGGTCTGATCAGCTGCAACATGCATTTCCTCTTCCTAGGATATAGATATTCTCCTGCCCAATGTGTTCCTTCGCCCTAAGCCGTTGGCCATTCTTCGTGCTTTAGGCGTATTGGGCATATCGGGCTAGACCTTATGTTTTAGACCAATCGGCACTCTATGGGTGATGTGGTCAATATCAAGTTGGCCGCCTTTTCTTTCCATGACTGTTTTTAAGGCTGGGTCAAACCCTGGAGCAAGGTCATTAAAAAAAAAAGCACTGCTCCATCAGGACCTGAAGCCCCGACTTCCAGATCCGCAGACCAGTGTCTAGCCGCTTCATCCCGGCTACTCCCAGGAAATACTGACCACTGTTATACAGTTTCTCAGTCATATCTGACCAAAGCCTGACCACTATCTTATGTGTGATCAAGTGCTCATAATCACCGATGCTAAGTTGAAACAGGGAGCGGCAGAATTAGGGTGGGGAGATACAGACTTGTTAATATTGCTGAATAAACGTATATAAATGAAGATTAATATGCATGATTAGCCGCGAGACGCGCCCTAGAGGGACAAGGTTAATGATAAAACAAACGTGAATAAATTGTTTTTGATTGATCCATGTGATTGCATAATCTAAATATAAGAGGGATGGCATACCTTTGCGGTCAACGGAGATGAGAATGATGTGAGTGTGTGTCTGAACAAGAATATAAATGAGCAAATCTAGACAAGTTGCAATTAAAATTACACGTTGGACACACTGCGTTATTCAAGCATTTCTCTCGGCTTCTTTAGGGATATACAAGCTTCAAGTAATGTCGCCATTCTCTTACTTACATATCTCTATACAAACTTGACAGATTCCGTTTCTAAAAACCAGATTGTGTACGTTTTTTTTTTAAGTGTTTTGTTATTAGAAAATTTAACGTATCAATATATTGTGTCTAATGACTAAAAATCAAGTCTTTGAATTTGTATTATGGAACTGGAAAAAGAAAATCATAGAAGCACTTTGGCTGGACACCTTGCCTGTTGGCAAAGTGATCTTGTGTTCAAATTCACATCTCATCTTAATCCTCTCGTATCTTGCAGTGTCGAGGTGAAGTACTATCTAAGTGAAAGTGCCCCCCCCCCTTTTTGTGCTCCAAGATTACAGTCATCATCATCATCACCATCATCACCATCAACATCATCAACATCATTATCATCATCATCATCAACATCATCATCATCATCAACATCAACATCATCATCATAATCAACATCATCATCAACATCATCATCATCATCATCATCATCATCAACATCATCAACAAGAACATCATCATCATCACCATCTTCATCATTATCATCAACATTACACAGCAGATCCTTTAATAACAAGGTTGCTCTCGTCACAGCACGCTTGAAAGTCCCCGTTTCTCTTGCCAGTTCTCAAGATCTATGTTCTGTAATAGCCAACGCAAATTCACTGGCTTGAATCCCCCGTCCGCTGCGTTGATTTTCAGGAACTGTTTCCTCCACCACTCTTCTCTCAAGACTACAATAACGTTTAACACTGCCACACTATCTCAGCTTTCTTATCAGTCTTGGGTCAGAAGTGAAACGGAGCACCCATGGGTTACTACCCTTGTGCCATGATGTTGATCCATCGTGTAAACCTAAACCAATCTGGCCAGGATACTGTGTATGAGCCAATTCTCCTCCATGCTAAGACAATTTAGGGTGTCAATATTTTATTTGCTTCTTCCCAGGCCGACTAAGTCTAGACCGGGTACATGGAACAGTTATGGGAAGTAAGGGTAGTTGGTGTAATATTGACTACATCATCCATCGAGAGCCGACTGGACTAAACTAAATATGTCGCCAACACAATATGTCCCATAATCCAGAAATAGACACCACAAATAAACATCATGGCGGAACACTTTGTCATCAGTTAGGATAAACGTCATTTAGTTCGACGTTAGTCTCCCCAAAACAAAATAGGTCAGTTTTCATTGATAACTTTTTTGGGCAGGTCCACTTTCGTGGAAGTTACGGGTGTGTTCCGCTCTCTTTGTGGTTTCCTTGATGTCTTGAATTAACGTTTTCATTCCGAGAAAGAGAATGCCTGTGACATAGGTTATCAGTAGAGTCTTTTACATACATTATGGTTTTAATAGTGATCACATGTGCGCCTACACACGCACATCATCGTCGTCATCAGCATCATCATCCTCACCATCAGCGTCAATTCCTGGTGTAAAACATATATACGAATTGTGCTTTTGTTTGAATCATACTTACAACCTTAAGTTCGGGTTTTTATAGCGGTTTGCAGCTGACAGACAATCTCTGTCTGTCTGTCTGTATGTCTTTCTCTTTATGGGGTTGGGGGGAGGGGTTGAACATGGAAGGGTCTGGGAACCAAACCCACTTAAAATTATCTTAGGGGCCTGGAAGGGCTCAAACCTTGCTTAAGTGCGTAAACACAATAACGATTATTATTGTTATTCTTCTTCTTATTTATTATTATTAATATTATGTGCTAAATAGCAAATACTATTTTTTATCACATACCAGAAATAAAACGAAAACGAATGTTAGTAAAAAAAAAAAAAAAAATCGAAACATAAATTCAATATACAGTGGGGGGGGGGGGGGGGAGGGGCGGCGGTGGTGGGGGGGGGGGGGGGAGTTATATTCTAGAGGAGAAGGCCAGAGACCTGATGCACTGTGAAATCTTTGGGAGGAGCTAGATGACTAAACTCCCAGATTTCGGCGCTCTTGTCTCCCTCTCTTCCCTCGCTTTCCCTCCGCACTCTCACTCCATCCACACTCTCACTCCCTCCACACTCTCACTCTCCCCCTCCCAGAGCCACACAACGGCGCTCACACGTAACTCACCATTTAAGACGGTCAAAACACCAGTTGTCTCCTCTTTGCCAAACTGATTGGAGGCCTTGCACGTGTATGACCCTGAGTCCCCGGGTTCAAGGTCAGAGATCTTCAGCCTGAGAAGTAAAAAGTTAGTCTCTAACAACAACAACTTTGGAACAGATTGATCAAATGTACTCTAAATATTTAAAATATCCTAGCGAGAACATGTCCCTAAGGAAAGATAGCAGTTTTCTAAAGCGCACACACTATTCAAAGTAAACACCAGTCTTATTTGTATGTGCTGATGAAGGCTCAATAGCCGCAACGTTCACGTTTTGTTTTTATTGGTTATATTGTAAAGCTTGCTAATATACTTTTCGTTCGGTTCTATATCTTTTTATTTATAAGGAAGTACGCGGCTGGAGCATAGGGTTTCGTGTATTCTTGGTCTCCCTGTTATAAGGTGAGATTACTGTTACTGCTTCACTTCGTTGTTTTATTTCAGAAAGGAATAGTTAAGTCTGTGTCGACTGAAGATACTCCTGATGAGGCGGAAAGTGACATCATGTTGCCAACAACACCGACAGACAGATCCTCGACTTTTCCAGATAGACAGACACTTAGAAAAGTTGCTAAACTGGCAGACATTTAAAAATACTCAATTGACAAATTGTGTAATTGTGAATGAGAGAGAGAGAGAGAGAGAGAGAGAGAGAGAGAGAGAGAGAGAGAGAGAGAGAGAGAGAGAGAGGAGGGGGGGGGGGCAGACAGACATACAGAGAAAGCATATAGATAGACAGAGCTATATACCCACTGGTATATTGGAATGATGAGACTGTCAGTTTTCTAAAGCGCACACATTATTCAAAGTAAACACCAGTCTTATTTGTATGTGCTGATGAAGGCTCAATAGCTGCAACGTTCACGTTTTGGTTATATTGTAAAGCTTGCTAATATACTTTTCGTTCGGTTCTATATCTTTTATTTATAAGGAAGTCGCAGTGGCGTTGCGGCTGGAAGCTTGCCTGCAGATCAGAAAGTCGTGGGTTCGCTTCCTGATGGAGCCGGACTATTTTCAAAAATGACTTCGGCTCCCAGGTCGACCCAGCCTTGAGTGGTTACCTGGAAAGTAAAGGCGGCCGGCGTGATGCTGACCAGACCACCCATCTTGTGTCGTTATATTATGCCTTAAAGGCGTGGAAAAAAGGTGCTTTACTTTACTTTTACTAGTCCTACAACCAGAGATGAAGTCGTTAATCCACTGGCAGCCCAAGTCGTGTCGGTGTTTTCCAAAACTTGGGAACTGCTCTAAAGATTTGTGGCTGCCCTCGCTCAAGAGGAGTTAATAACTTATCACTTAAGTTCAAGAGCCGTCCTGACAGCAGGGTTATCTTCCCGGTGCAGTATTTCGGAGTCCCAGATTATCTCCATCACTCAGTGTTTACTGTAAGGATAAGTGCTGACTATTGCCTGTTTGTTACCCAATTTTGGTTGTCATTTTGACTGCGTTGATGATTTAAATTGTTACCTTTCTGGAGAACTATTATTATTATTATTTTAATAATTCGTCTTCTTCTTCTTCTTCTTCTTCTTCTTCTTCTTCTTCTTCTTCTTCTTCTTCTTCTTCTTCTTCTTCTTCTTCTTCTTCTTCTTCCTCTTCTTCTTCTTCTTCTTCTTCTTCTTCTTCTTCTTCTTCTTCTTCTTCTTCTTCTTCTTCTTCTTCTTCTTCTTCTTCTTCTTTTTCTTCGCGTTCACTAGATGTAAAATCCGACGTAATATTCTGGTTGTACGTCCCCTTTCAGCTTATTCCGGAACTTAAGTTTTACGTGCACTTCTACACCACAGATCTGGCTAATTTGTATGCAGCGGTATGGTTCCATGCCTCTCAGGCAGATACACCCCCACTACGAAGGAATCCCATAAATAGACGGCTCTTACGACATGCTTTTTAGGGAGAGATTTGGTCTTTTTTGTTGCCCCTCACTCTCTACAGTGGGGCCACAGATATCACACGGTGGCTATTTAGAATTAACTATTTTGTCACAAATGGAGTCAATATTTCAATAATAGTTTGTACTCTTCAACAGTGGGATGTTGCTGTTTATTCGTAGGCCGTATCTCTAATTCGGCCTGCGGTCAAAGAATCTGCCGTTCCAAGAGTCTTGAGTTCAAATCCGGAATGAAATGGATATTTAAATATTAATCTTTGTTCCAAGAACAGTCAAGCGGGAAATGACTATCAGAGTTAGTCGTGTAAGGTAAAGGCGGCCGGTATGATGCTGAGATATCACGCTTTGATTCCATATAATTTAACACACTATGTTGTCCAGTGTGTTCTCCTAACCCTATTTTTCTTTTTATAGGTACCGATCAGATAAGTAAATTTGTACATACAGGCGTGGGGAAAAAAAAGCCTGTGTATGCAATACATAGCCAAGTTGTTTTTGTCCAAGACGTAGCTACACACAGGGTAAGAAGCAACAACGAAATTCCTTATCTGTTTAAATCACCATTGATCACCGGCATCATGAAGGCTTGTAGTCTGAAATGGCTGAGGCTTATTGATAGAATGTCAGATGACAGAGGTAATAACTGTGTACACAAGGGAGTTTAATGGTAATGGTCATGGAGGTAGACCAAGAATTGGATGGATAGATAATATCTAGACCAGTGTTTCCCCACAGTGGAGCTCCGCACCACGTCAGATCAATTTGATTGTTAAAGAGACCAATTTGAATGTTAAAGGGAGCAATTTGTTTGTTAAAGGGAACAATTTGATTGTTAAGGGGAACAATTTGATTGTTAAAGGGAACAATTTGATTGTTAAGGGGAACAATTTGATTGTTAAAGGGAACAATTTGATTGTTAAAGGGAACAATTTGATTGTTAAAGGGAACAATTTGATTGTTAAGGGGAACAATTTGATTGTTTAAAAAAAAGGGGGTGGGGCAATATTTGAAAATTAACAATTATGTATTTGTAACATAGGGCGCATAAGCATTTTAGAAAGGCTCGGGTGGGGCATGTCACACATACACAAACACACACACACACACACACACACAAACACAAGTCCAGACACAAGACAGACATATAAACACATGATGTCATCATCTGGAGAGTGACGGCCAACCAGACAGACTAATGGAGGCAGGCGATATCTACAATAATCAGCCGCAAATGCTCGAAATGCTGAAGGAGAACGAGAAGAAGAAGAAGAACTACACACTGATTTAAAAACCTGACTACATATTGACCTTTTGGACACGTTTTCAAATACTTGTATTCCGTGTCGTGAAAATATATGTGTGTAAAGTGCAAAGCGGCTTTTGGACACCCTGTACTATTTATATGGCCTCTAGGGCTCCTGTCTGTTTATTTCGCTGAAATATTTGTCTAGCCCAATATGCCCACGAGAAATTGAAGTGTTAAAGGGACTTTTACAATGTAGGGCACGCACCAGAAAAGGAGAGGGGATGAGAGCACGAGGTAGAGCAAGAACATAAGGACAGAAAGCGTGTGTTTATGACCCCCCCAAAAAAAGAGTGCCTGGCTGAACGATAAAGGGTGCAGAGCCCTCAAACGTCCGTTAGATTTGGGATTTGGGATTTTTTTTTTTTTTTCTGTCGGGGGTAAAATAAAAATTCTAACCTGCACTGTCCGTGGCGACAGCACTAGCCATGCGACCTTAAATCCACCTGCCTACCACAAGAATTGGTAAATTCAGGCAATAATGGCAATGACTAAAGAACAAGAAGCAGAACCCTATACCTCCCTGGACACCAGCAGCGGTAAAAGAGGACACGAAGAAAATAAGAAGAAGAAGAAGAAGAAGAAGAAGAAGAAGAAGAAGAAGAAGAAGAAGAAGAAGAAGAAGAAGAAGAAGAAGAAGAAGAGAAGAAGAAGAAGAAGAAGAAGAGAGAAGAAGACGAAGAAGAAGAAGAAGAAGAAGAAGAAGAAGAAGAAGAAGAAGAAGAAGAAGAAGAAGAAGAAGACGAAGTAGGAGAAGAAGAAGAAGAAGAAGAAGAAGAAGAAGAAGAAGAAGAAGAAGAAGAAGAAGAAGAAGAAGAAGAAGAAGAAGAAGAAGAAGAAGAAGAAGAAGAAGAAGAAGAAGAAGAAGAAGAAGAAGAAGACGAAGAAGAAGAAGAAGAAGAAGAAGAAGACGAAGTAGGAGAAGAAGAAGAAGAAGAAGAAGAAGAAGAAGAAGAAGAAGAAGAAGAAGAAGAAGAAGAAGAAGAAGAAGAAGAAGAAGAAGAAGAAGAAGAAGAAGAAGAAGAAGAAGAAGAAGAAGAAGACAAACAAGAAGAAGATAAGGAGAAGGAGGAAGAGGAGGAAGAATTTGCTACTATTTTACTTACAGACAGACGAAAGGTAAACGCCAAACTCCATATATTCTCATACCCTTACAAATAAGTCAAGAAAATTATTCACACAATTGAAACTAGGATAAGTGGCGACAAGTCCGCAACAATTACTCCGTGACTGGCTTCCTTCAGATTTGTAGAAACGCACTTAAGTCAAATGGAACTTAAGACAAGAGCTTTCTGTTGGAGATTCGGGAGTAGTTCATCATTATTGTGACTAAAGTTAATGCAGCCTAGACTGCAGCTATGCCCGGAGCGCAGTTTGTTGCCACCAGCAACGCTATTGTTATGACGGAAGCTGTAAAGGCAAGCCGGGTATTTAATGGTAATTATAAAAATTGGCGTGGGTAGAGCAAGACTATGCTCACCGGAGGGAAAGCTACAAAATAGGGTTATAATTCAAAATCTAGCTAGGAGAAGTTTTAGACGCTATTCAACGAATCATTGCGGAACACAATGTGGACCATAAAAGAAAACACATAATGGCTTTTATAAGACCTGTACTATATGGTTGAAACCTCAGCGGGCTGGGACGGGAGTTCTGAACGGATCAGCTATTTATAGCTCGAAATGCAAATTATAGCAGATGGCAATCTTGCAAGTGTTCCACCGGGGAGGCGATCGTGTCCCTTCACAACTCCCGGTTTTATAAGTGTATGAGGGAGTTTTGTTGGTGAGTTTGTTACCTACAGTTCTGTCGAACTGTACTTTCTCTAAGTTTCTTTTCTTTCATCTCCGTATTTACTTAGCATTTCACCATAGAATAATGA